ACCTTGCCTAGATTGTACCAGATCTGATGATGACGAGGATGATGATGATGACGATGACCAATGTCCATTTTAACTGAAATGTGAGCTTCACATACAAAAATAGATGGACACAAACCAGAAACCGTTCATGGCAGAAACATGGCAGAAACTGTTGAATCGAATTTCACGAAATGAAAGCATCTCCACTGGATAGATAAGACCCATGAGGTGTATTACAAATTGCATTTGAAACACTGGGTGTCCCTTATCTATCGCATCTTCCAGCTTTGAGACAAAATGCATTGTTAAAATAAGTATATCCAATAAAAATGAGGAATTGAAAATCGATTTCACCTTGCTAATACTAACAGGACTTCGGCTTACGCCATTGCATATCGCTTAAAGTATCGCGCAAACTGAGCAGCTACTTGAATCATCCATCCATCCATCCATCCATCCATCCATCCATCCATCCATCCATCCATTCATCCATCCGTTCATCCAATCATCGTGTGATAAAAATTGCCGAAATACCAATGTGTGGTTGAATGGCATGGTCGATACATGACGTTTCCTTGAAACAGGTGTCGCTGTCCGTTACGGAGTAACCATCCGGAGCTATATTTGGTGGTAAGCTTTCTCTATCTGTGAATTGTCACCTGATCCTAACATTGATTCATTCAAGAAACTGTTTTTAGGCCATATGGTGGCTAACATCTACGCTTGTTCTTCGTAATGATCAACTATGAATTGGTCTTTGTCCCTCGTTCATCGGTTTGTTTCGCATAGAGAACAGAGTTGGGTGTCTGCATTGCAAAATGATGGTTATCATTAAACCCCGTCTCTCGATGACGTCATGATTCATTCTTATTTTCTCCCCTATCCCTCGTCCATCCCGTCGGCACAGATGAGAAGAAGTTGAACGGATTTGGCGATCGACGAAGCGTTTGTGCTTGTGAAGCATCCACCTTGTCCTCCATCCCAATTGGCTTCGAGAAAACAACACGGACGGGGCAAATGGAGAGCACTGGGGATAGTGCACAGCCCCTGTTTTGGAATTCGATTCCGGAGGGTAATGAAAAGTTCATCATTCTGAATGGGTGAGTGTAGTATTCGCTATGTTTCTGACCTCACAGATAATATCACGTAGTTATTTTACTCATCGCTTACTGTTTGCGTAATATAAGGGCTGGAACTCTTCATTTTTACCCTCCACTCAAGAGGTTCTTGAAAGTGCTATTCTCTCTCCCTTTCGGTTTACAGCCTATATTTCTTCAATGTCTGCATTTGATGATTGTTTGTGCATTAAGTATACCGATGATGTCTGTGGCATGAAGGTTTCGGAATTCTACATGTACTTATGCAGAAAATTCCATTACGTTTGTTTACGGAGCTTGGCAAACGTTTCATCACCAGCCGAGGTGATATCATCAGTGAGTGTGAAGAATATTTGTGGTGATTCGGATCTACGGGATCACGCCTGCCCTGAAACAGCGCGGTACAGTTTCCAGACATTGATAGTCAATCGACCTTGAGCAATGACGCCAGTAGCACGTGCACATCCTCCGGATACACGTCATTGGTGCACCGTTCCAGCCAATCAGATACAATGCAGAGAAGAGCAGTATGACGCAAGATGTGGTACAATATGATTGGTGGAAACTAAGGTAGCCAATGATCTTTTCTTGTGTACATATATATTCACTTTCATTTCCTCCTTTGTGATTCGCCTGTCTTGTGGCCTTCTTCCTCGCGTCTCGATCCTGCGTGTTATTGCGAGTTCGAGCCATTGCGGTCCAGTGTCATCGGTTTTCTAATTCCTGTTCCGTGATTCCGATTGCGTAGTTCGTGTCCTGAATTCTGTGCGTAACTTCACTACTACTACCTTTCATTCCCATTACAATATTTCATTGCTCACCCACTGGTCTTCACATTACCACCTTAGAATGAATCCTTCCAAGTGTATAAATGTCTTATTTTCTTTGCTGAAAGGTCACCAATACATTGGTGTGATGAACTCTTGTCAACGTGTCATTATCAATAGAGAACAAGTTTTGAGAACGTGCTCCGTCAAATAGCATGGAGTCAACATTTTCCGTAATCTTTCTTGGTCTACCCGTGTCGTCGAGACATTTCACAAAGTCAGAAACCTCACGTTTTACATAATTTGTTTGATGATGGTATCTACCTCAACAAGAATAATAAAAGTTGTCTTCTCTTGCATCCCTCCCGACTGGCCTTGCCGGTCTTTTAATGAAATACCTGAAACTCATCAAACACGTATGTCGATACAGCGGCATATCTCGTGCGTATGTTGTGCAGTCTATAATTTCATAGCANTAGTCAATGTATCTCTACATCTAACGCTCGTTCCAAGTATAAGCATATAGCAGCGCGCACCAAAGTACACAAGTCTTCTGTAATACCGCACTTGGCACGGTTTCTTACTAACGCCAATCTTGTCATTGAGATCCTTGGACACAAACTTTGCTGAATTCGCCGAATTTATTTGTATATGTTGCGCATCATCATCCTTTCTGTTTATACCATACCATTCCGAGAGAAGAGTGATTATGTTGTAGCTGAATGCTCATCCCCACGGGGAAATTTCTGGTGTCTGAATGGATTATAAACAATAGTGTTTTGGCCTGAATAAGTCTAGCTTTGCAAGTGAAAATATGTCTCACTTAGACAAACAATCAAGTTAACATGCTTGCATGATTTTGGCCACAATTCAGTATCCTCCATGAAACGATTTTGTATCCCG